AGAGAGAGTGAGAGAGAGAGAGAGAGAGAGGGAGGGAGAAGGGTTTAAAAACTGGTCGTCGAATTTAATATTGGCAATTGGGGAAGCTGCCGAAGGAGGCGAGGGAGAATTAAATATGCATGTAAAACAAGGGAGGAAGGGAAAGGGGGGAGCTTTGTGTATTTTGAATTGAGGCCTTGGGATCGGTTTGTCCCCGAACTGGGAGGATTTTGCTCGGCCGATCGGCTGCGAGTTCTTTGCTTTCTTGCTCCCCACGAGGCGCGCAGCAGGCGGCGGCAGCTGCCATCCCACCCTCATCTTTCTTCCTCTTTCTTTATCCCTCAGGTACTAGAAATTTGTTCTCACTTGTATCCCCTCTTTCTTCAGCTCTCTCTCTCTCTCTCCGTATCTTTCTTCTTTCAACCAGCACATATATGACTGTTATGTAGTGTGTGTCATTCTTGGTTCTTCGAGTGAACCAGTTCTTCTTCCTGTGCGTCTCCCTCCGCCTCTCTCTTTCTGTCTCTATCTCTCTATCTGATTTTTAGTTTTGACGATGTTGGACTTGGATGGTGGGTTCAAGAAGCGGTTTTTGCCTTGTTGTTTTCTGTTCTCCACAAAAGAAGCTCTGTTCTGGAAAATCCATTGCCTTCTTTGTTAGTTTCATTAGCTTGGGTAAGATATTAGTTTTGGCTCGTTCTTCTGTTCTTCTTTTTCTCAGGTTTGATGAGTTGTGGCGTGCTCTTTTCTCTATCCATATCATGCTTTTATTTCGGGATGCAAGATCCTTCCTTTTCCCCCTCTCTTGTTGGTTGGCTTTGTGAATTATGCTGTGTTGAGATCTCTTGTTGGTTGGCTAGGGTAAAGAATATGGAGGTTTTGGTGTTGGGTATTGGATTACATGGGTGCATATGGGGGTTCTATTTTGTTCTTCGGGATTCTGGACCAAAGTCCTTTTCCTCACAGATCCTAAAGAGATCAACAGGGGACAGCTGTTTGGGTTCTTTTTATCCTTTTCCCTTCTTTTTTATTGCCCCTTTTGCTGTGGGTTGGCATAAATTGGTTTTGTTTGTGGTTCAAAGAGCTAGAAAAGTAGAACTGGATTCACATAATAAAGGTCTATTAGTTATCTAATCTTTGGACATTGGCAAACATGTAGCAACAGAACAAAGCCATGGTTTTGTTGATCGTTTGTCCTGGTTGATTGAGAATGTGTGTATTGCATGAGTGGATAAACAAAGAAATCCTAGCAGGGTATCACTGGTTACTGCTTTCATCGATCAAGTAAAACGTAACTCTGAGCTCTGACTGTTGCCCTTTCTATTCGTCCATTTTGATCTCCATCTGTTTTTTTATTTACTTTTAACTTGTGTGCTGTTCTCCAGATTGTGTGCAATTATATCCTCACAAAACATCAGTTTGATGGGCAGTATAGGTTGATAAGTATGAACGATCAGTGGTATATAAAGAAACTTCACGTAAATTTTCGGTGTGAGCCTTGCTTTGTGTTTCTATTGGTATAAAAACATATTTTGATTCGGAATGCAGCGATTTGAACACATATGTGTTCCCATTGCTATTGCTTCTTCTGATCATTTGTTATTCATTAATTGTTCTCGGTGTAAGCATTTGATCTCTGTTGAATCCTTCCGATTGTTTATTTTCTTATCTTCGCTGTATTCCTGACTGTTGCAGCAGACTACATTTCTTCTTAGGGTTGGAGCTTTCTGTGTCAAGTTCGTCCAGTTACTATTTTGTAGCAGAATCTGGCAATGAGTTATCATCCTTCCACTTCCAAAGATCTTGCCAAGTTTAAAATCAAGGAAAAGAAAAATGTCCATGTTCTTTATGATGTCTAACAACCAATGCGACACAACTCCAGATCTTTGTCTGAAGGATCAAGGACATCCTCCATATTCTGAATCATCAGTTCCTGCCGACATGATGTACCTTAGTTTTTCGAATTCTGGTGCGTATGCAGATGCATCAGCTGGCAGTACTCAGACACAGCAGAATCACAATGAGCTTCCTGTTGCCTCTACCATTATTTCGCAAGGCTTGACTGCAGGGAATTCTGATATACTCAACTCATATCCTGGGGATCATGCTTATAATGCTTGGAAGGATGGAAGAAACGAGATGTTATTTATGCAGACAATTGATGGGTCCATAAATGTTATGGAAGATCAACAACATGGTGATGATCCTCGGATGAGTCTGCGGTCACAGTTGGGCATCATAAATAGGCAGAGCTTGTCTCTACAGCAGTCCAGTGTTTCAGCCATGCAAAATCAAGGATTATCACTCAGCCTTAGCACACAAATGCCAGTTCCTTCAATCCAGTACCAGCCTAATAGCTCAGATATATCTTACATTGGTTCTCATCAGTCAACTTCTGGAAATGTTAGGCCATTCAGAGAGGAAGGCTTTCAGAATAAAAGTGTGCATGGAAATATCTCCCCTTATGGACTTTCAAGTCTTGCAAGCTCAATTTCAAATTCTAAGTACCTCAGGGCAGCACAAGAATTACTTGATGAAGTCATTAATGTCAGGAAGGCTCTGAGGCAAAAAGCAGAAAAGAACCAATGTCTCTATACTTCTGCTGGTTCCATGACGTGTAAGGATGCCACTGGCGGATCAAATGGTGAAGGGATGACTCCAAACCCTCAAGACGCCTCTGCTAATTCTTCCAGTGAGCTCTCACCTTCTGAAAGGCAGGATCTTCAAAACAAGGTCTCAAATCTGTTGGGGATGTTGGATGAGGTTCTTTTCCTTGCCTTTTCTTCTTGTTTCATTAAGCCGTATTCGCTATTGTAGTTAAAGAGTTTAAATGAACATAAGATCATTTTCAGAAAATTTATTTTGGTTGGCATGACTCAGCTTGGTGTTTCTGGTCACCTGTACCTTGATAAAGGTGACTCGAACTGGAAGTAAATTTCATTGAAATCAGAGCATGGTATCTAGAATACCTATTGAACTGTAATCAGTTCAGATCTATGAAATTGAACTTATAAGGTAAATTACTTCTGTGAACATCTTTTGCTCGTCAGAAATGAATCCTGTCGTTCACCACCTGTAATTAGCATTTGTTCAAGTGACTACAAATGGTTTAATGTTTCTTCAGAAATTTACAAAATCATAAGCATACCTGTGGATCACAAAATTAAAAGAGAAAATTATGTTTAGTGTCTGTATTCGTCAAATTTTTAATTGATGGAATTTTTTGGAAGAGAAGATTTGTCTAGCATTTCCTTCAATAGGAACCTCTTCTTGTTTTACTTTTGTAGTTAACTCCTTTTTCTTGCTATGATCTAAAAATAATTATAGAGATAAAGGAAAATATCTAGTTGACTTAGAGAAAATTTCTTCCTTTCTCTACTATTATACGATTGTCCTTGAATTCTTTGAGAAAAATATAATAAACTGGGAAATCTATGGTATGATTTCAGTCAAAAGGAGATGACACTATACAAATTATTAGATCTTAGAAGCATGTTATTTGATGGACCTTTCCAAATACCAGCTGTTCTGTGCTTCTGTCTCAACTACCATTGATTTCTTTGCTCCTATGGGCTTCTTTTCCTGATACACTCGCAGATTTGCAGAGCTCAACAGCAAACTGCTGTTTAGAGCTTCGGCTATTATCCTCACACTGAAAACTACGGACATTATTTATTAGTACATCAATGCATCTAAATTCTCTATACCCTGGTACCATTTTCTTCCGTTTTTCATTTTGCTGAATAAATGTTTATGAAATCGCCTTAAAAGCATTTAAAATATATCATGTTCTAGCAGCTTCTGATAAGACACTGAACCTAATAATTGCTAATCATACATGGATGATTGGCCTGTGACTTCTATCATTTTTCTCATGATCCTTAAAGTCGTACATATGCTAAGAAAATGATATAACTAAAATCATTACTGTAATTGGCCCCTTAGTAGTGATTGCTGTTCTAGATTCATGGCAGAGTGCTTGCTTAGATATATTTGAGGAAACCATTTGTTGATGGTAAATTATTTGATGTGACCATGATGTGGATGTCCAAGGTGTTGTCTCTTGGGTTATCGACAAAGATCTATCCAAATAAGAGAAGTTTTGTTAACTGTGAGTATGATGGTGTTGATGATATTTGACATGGGAGGAGCATGTAAATAAGATGAATAGGTAATAAATATGATGGTGCCATAGAGGAAGCAACTATGTCACTTCTATGCGGTAAAGGATTGTTTGGTTTCATATAGACATTGTGTTATGCTGAAAATTATTTAGAATTTATGAAAACAGCTATGGTCATTTTCTTTTTTCTTTTTTCTTTTTTTTTACATCTGAAGCATTATACACCTAAGATAGAGATAAAAGTTTCAATAGTATTGGTTTGTTCGAGTGGAATAATGGCAATAATGGCACTATTATGCGATCAGCTGTATCAATGACAAGTTATTTGAGAACCGATACGTCATCTTTCATCTTAACACATACATATTTCATTTCATTTCAATTGCAGGTTGATAGACGGTACAAACAGTACCACAATCAAATGCAGATAATAGTGTCATGTTTTGATGCAATTGCTGGTTGTGGGGCTGCTAAACCATATACGGCCCTTGCCCTTCAAACCATTTCTCGGCATTTTCGCTGCCTGAGGGATGCCATCAGTGGCCAAATTCGAGCTACAAGGAAAAGTCTTGGAGAACCAGACAGTTCTAGTAAGAGTGTTGGGCTGTCTCGCCTTCGGTACATAGATCAGCAGTTAAGGCAACAGAGGGCCATGCAGCAATTTGGTATGATGCAACAGCATGCTTGGAGACCACAGAGGGGTTTGCCAGAGTCATCTGTCTCAGTTCTTCGTGCTTGGCTGTTTGAGCACTTCCTTCATCCGTAAGATCCTACTACATTTCTTTTTTTCACCTAGTACTTTTATGTATACAAAGAATAATTCTTCATACGAACACTTACATGTTTTGCCAGCTATCCAAAGGATTCGGAGAAGCTAATGCTTGCAAGACAGACAGGCTTGACAAGAAGTCAGGTATACTTACTATTGTTTTTAACTATATGACTGTTGCTGGTCAGCCATGGTTGCTCTCTTTTAATGCTAATGACAGCAGAACTTACATTGCTTAAATGGCAAGCGAAACTATGATCTTTTTTTTTTTTCACCCAAAAGGTATCTCTTGTGACTCTCTTTTTGTTCCCCTTCTCATATTTTCTCTTTCAAGTCTCATCATCTCATGTCCAATTTTTGTTTCTTTCTCATCTTATCATGAAGAAATTGTTACTAAGATTGGAATGCCATATGCTTCAATATTAACTATCTTTCTGATTGAAACTGATAACAGGTTCTGGTAAATCCCATGTCTTGCTTGATGTTTCTGATATGTAAATGTATGGATATGCATAGAACTTTTCCTGATTCAACTTGGGTCTTCCATGAAGCAAACTTTGACATTCACATAGTATTTATTATTTACACAAAGGGCAAATCAAATCTGCATAGCCATAAAATTTTTAGGCTAAAGCAGTCTGCATCCAAGAAACAGGTTACTTTAGTGCATATACTTTAGTGTTTGTTTATTGTATTTTTTCCTCATTGAATGTCCTAACATTCAGGTTTCGAACTGGTTCATAAATGCACGAGTTCGTCTTTGGAAGCCTATGATCGAAGACATGTACAAAGAAGAATTTGGTGATGTTGAGATTGACTCGAACTCTTCTTCAGAAAATCCACCAAAACTGAAGGAAGACATTCAATCCTCCGAGGATCATGAAGACTTGCAAAACCATGCAACTGGAAGATGCCAAACAAGCCAGATGAGTGACTCTTCAAGACCCAATATCATCCCAGCCATGGATGTGGATGAGTCAGCAGCTGGTTTCCAGAATGGAACAGCTACACAAGACTCCTTTATGAATCTGAAAGCCAATGACCAAAGATCAATTGGACAAGATGCCAGCTTCTTACAAGATGCTCTTGCACACCCAGACGGCAATGGCAGATTTTTAGCTTATCAGATGGCTGAGTTAGGCTGCTACGGAAATGGCGGGGTGTCCCTCACACTGGGACTGCAGCACTGCGATGTCGGCCTTCCTATATCGGACAATCAGCAGAGCCTTCTTGCCATGAGAGGGAATGATGGTTACAGTGCTGCTGTTCCAGCTGGGGCAGATACAGCTGATTATGATTACGCGAACATGGGAGATCAGCGACACCGGTTCGGGTCAGCACATTTGCTGCATGATTTTGTCGCTTGAATTGATTTGTGTTGGTGATGATTGCTAATGAAGTTTCTGAACCAGAATAATTTGTTCCAAATTGCCTTCCTAGGCATTGCTTGCAACTCTATAGGAGAAAGTGAGTTAGCATGGTGATGTAACATAAGAGGTGGTGGGATTATAGGGTAGCATATTGTAAAGATAGAAGCATAATTTTTGTGTAATCTAATTAATCCTTGTGTTTTGTATACTATATGGATGGCTTTGGCTCTGCATACAATTACACAATTGTAAGAATATTTGATTGTAAGAATTGTGAGAAATTTGGTATTTTATTTAAATTCTCAGTAGCAGTTCACCATGCTTTGAAAAGAGGAAGTTAATCTGGTTTTTTATGTGATTGCAATGACACTTCCTATCTTGATTGTCATCTTTTTTGGTTAGAACTTAATAATTGTTGTAAGCAATTAATCATATTATATAGTCCACTGTGAAAATCTAAGTCTTGGTTTTCCTTGTGGAGAATGTGAGCTTGATTTGCTACCATTGCAAATTTTGCAAACTTGACACTTGATAGCAAGGCTGATATAGATATCTATATATTTTGTAAGAGATGATGAAGCTTTCTGGTAACAAAATAATCCTGCTTTTCATTGGATACTGGCATTTCAACCATCATGAGATCCAAACAGGATAAGGCATTGTTTCAACATGCACAAGATTACTAAACCAGTATGCATTGGATTATAGAACATGGTGATTACAAGTTTACAACTTCAGAGGGGCATATACAGGGTGAGGTCTTTTTGTTGTATAATAAGGTACAGAACAGACTTAATTCATATTAGTTTTAAAACATGAAGTTATTTACAACAATGATCAGCTTTGTCAAGTCAATCGGTTGCATCGAGATTCCGGAGTAGTAGACCTGACAACACTATAAAAGACTGCTTCTAAAATATTTGCCAAGAGAGTCCTCTTCCTTACAGTATCGGCAAACCACTTTGTAGACTTCGATCAGAAGCTTTGGGAATAGACTTCTAAAGTACATATCAAATCCTTCAGGAACAGGTCCAAGTGTTTCCTGGAAATGTTGGGAATGACTTGAGCAAGATATTGGGGTAATAAAAAATACTAGAGTATAAAAAGTGACCAAACTTGCTTTTATTCAGCACTACTGTTTATCGGAGACTGGATCCATGAAGTACACAACACAATATAGAACAATGTCAACTAGTTTATCAGCATTAAGTGATTCAGCAGAATTAAAATTAGTATAAAATGATAAAAGATATAATGGGATGATGAATGTTACCTATTTCTGAACCAAGCATAATACAATGTTCTATTTGAAGGTGGAATTCAAGGGACAATTAAAGATGTTATATTTGAAGGTGGAATTCAAGATAATAAGCCAAGAGACAGTAAAAAATAACTCCCAGTGAGATACTACTCAAGACAAGTCAATCTGCCAGACAATGGAAAGGCCATCATATAATATTAATGCACCATCCATTTTCCATTGTAAAAAATGGAAATATATAAGCATTAGCTATGAGATGCACGTGCAAGAAGCACAGCTTATCAAGAATGATAATAGGTAAAAGATGGGAAAGTTCAGCGTAACAGAATAAAGAACATATTTCCTTTCACCAAAATAGCATCCCAACTATGAACCAAATACATAAAACCAAAATGCTAGAGACAAGTCATTCGTACACCTACGCTGTTCTAATGAAAACTATGGCACCAAATAAGAATATTTTTTAAATACAACTCTTTATGTTAAGCTAGCAGACAACTTGAGAATGAAAAAATTTCAGGGTCAGCTGTAAGATTTTAAGATCAGAAATGACCTTTATATTTCAGAGCCAAATACAATCATGGGATCAGGCTGGCTAAAAAGATTAAATTTGCCAAACAAAATCAACCAGAAGAAATAATAGGACTAAGCCACAAATTAGCTGAAATTGGGTGGAACAAGCAGTAATCAGCCAAAACCAGTCAAAAATAGCAGCAATCAGCTGGAAATCCTCTGGAATCAGCAAGAAACATTAAGGACTTGACCAGAACAGACTAAAACTACTTTGAGGCAGGATCATATTCCCAATTAAACTTGTCTGTCTGTTATAGCTAGCCAGAACCAGGCACACCAACCAAGGATCAACAGAAATTAGTCAGAACTGACTGGTATTTACCGACCATAGTTGTGCTAGATGAACCAAACCTATAGTTGTGTTGCACCATATAAGTGGGCCTATCACCAACCACCATATAATTGTGTTGCACAACAAGAAAAGATAACAAGATTCCAACCTATCAAGGAAGTCAAAAGTGGCAAAAGCATAATGAATTTTCTGCAAGACACATGCAATCAACAAGCTATATTGCTGCATCTAACCTGGAATGAAGTCTGGAGCAAGAAGTACAGTTTATATTGATTGCTTCAGTAAAGGGATAATATAAATAAATTGTCTACATAAGATAACCATAAAAGATATTAACTGAAGTAAGTTATGCACACAGAACATACTGATTTCAAGGTTATAAGAAAAATATAACATTATTATATCTAAGAAAAGGGATGGGAGAAGCAAACCTGGAGTTCTTTTGGAAGTTCCCTATAATGATTTAACTTGTTTCTTATTACTCGTAGGAGGTCACGAACGCAATTAAAACGATATTTTCTATAACGACCCATGTCTGTAATGAATGCAGCATCTAACTTTTCATCCCATTTCCCACCAAATGCAAGAGGTGCAATATTTTCTAACGCTTTTAAAATATCTGATCCTCTGTCTTCCAATTCAACTCGATCGCTTACATCTCGTAAAAATGAAAGCCGTGTCTCAGAACTCCAAAAAAGTGGTTGATGCAATACTTCTACTGCATTTGGCCTGTTAACATATAATATGCATGTACTTCATAATGCAAAGAGAAAAAGAAGAAAAGAGGGAATGACACTGCAAATTATGAAAATGTTTTGCTTGCCTCATCTTTGGGTCAGGTTGCAACAATTGGCAAAGTAGATGCTCAGCTTCTGGTATATGATCCACCAAGAAAAGGTCCATGCAATTGTTAATAATGTTTGCATCTCGTTCAAAGAATTTGCCAAATGGATGTTTCCCCTTGGTAATACAAAAGAATAGTATGCAACCCAAACTGAATAAATCCACAGCTCGTGTTTGGCGTTCATGAAGAATTTGCTCAGGTGCTTGCCAACCAGAGCTACCATATCCTATGGAAAATTTAGACGAGCTTGAACTTAGTCCATTTCTATTTATAACAATAAAAAAGTTTTTTATTGGAGGGGATCAATTATTAGTGTTAGGAAGTCATTACCAGTTGCATTACAACTCAAAGAAGACATGTCTTCAAGGAGGCGTTTGCTTATACCCATATCAGAAAGTTTGGCATAAAGATATCTGTCATTGCTTATTAGCACATTTTGAGGCTTTAGATCCCGATGTATGATTCCAAGTTCATGTAGATGTGCAACGCCAGAAACTATATCTCTGTATATAAACAAGAGCAAAGTTTTAAAAATCACAGATCCACATTATGACAAAACAACAATAGCTTGCAAAACTGGCAGATTAGAGTAGCCAATTCCAAAATGAATAGAGAACACAAGCGACTTAAGAAGAAGCACACACTTTAAATCTACACAATATATACTCACAGCATTTGCCAATCCTTTTATATCCAGTGCCAAGTTATACTTGTTTTAAATCTTAAAACAAGTATTTTTTGAAGTATAAGATCAGCATATGCATGCCATTAATGCATTAGGTATGTTGGAGCCTAAGTTTGGCCAAATCAAATCCAAGCCTCAACATTGACTAGATCAAGTTGGATCACACTAAGGTCAGGCATTTTCCAGTTATACTTGTATTCTATAGCTTTTGTTCTATACATAATCAATTCTGATGTATTTTGGGGTTTTCTTCTATTTTAAAACTTATGTCACTCTTAAACGTGACATTAGTCATATCTTTGCTATCCTCTGTTCTCTGGACCAATGTACTTTGGGTTTTCTTGAGTTTAAGAACTATGTTACTCTTGAATATGCACATAACCTTTCACTACTTCGGAATCCTCTGTTATACAGCGCCTGTTCTGATGTAATTCAATCAAATCGGACTCATATTGTCAGTTGCAAAATAGGTTACGTTTGCATTCTTAGGCAGATTATGGCTGCATAAGAGAACTAAAAGTTCCTACTTGTAAATGAGTGATTCTTAAGGATTCAGTATGCACACTGTGCCAAAAAAAATGGCTTATAAGTTTTGTTGACAAAAAGCTTAGAAACATATACAAATAAGGAGACAAAAAGGTAGCAGAGCAACATGAGAACTTTAATAAAGAGATAGAAGAAAAGGATAACTACCAACCTCATTAGTTTTAAGAGTTGAATTGATGGAAGACCATTTGGTCTCCACAAGTTAACATCCTTTCCAATATTTTTCACCATGCCTAATTGAAATTTGTGCTCAATAGATGAGTCTGATATTGGATTTTCCACAGATACTGAATATGAAGAATCTGAGCATATGTGTATTAGGTCACTTAAACTGCATATACATCGCTCCAGTGAGATATAGACAAAATCTAAATCTTGTTCTACTCCATACCACCGAACAATATTGGGGTGCCGATCAGATGCAATAAGATTCTGAATCTCTTTACAGGCCACATCATGATGCGCACGAAGAAGCCGTTTGACAGCGACAGGACGAGCATCATAAAATCCTTCAAAAACAACTGTACCATTGCTCCCATGACCGATTTCAGAATTTGATACAAAGAGTCTTCCAATCCAACGTCCATCACTATCATCATTCAGTTTCATAAATGAGCTTCCATTTTGATTATGTCCATTAGTTTTGGTGTTCTCTCTCATAGATAACAAATGACTGTCATGATTACCACTGATGGCAACATTTTTCATGTTTGGAGCCTTCCGAGATTTCCTCTTTTTAGCAAGCACAGATTGTCGTTCCTTCAAATCATTGCATTCTTTATCATACTTGAATAGCTTTCTCAACCAAAGATAGCAGAGCACAAAGAATATAGGCAAAGTTATAATCAAAAGCCAACCATAACCTTCATAAATAGATTGCAGTGACAACACATTGGTCTGCTGAGCATCAGAATGTTCATCCACTGAATGATTAATCTGGCCATCCAATGAGTTATGGGATGCATTAGAAATTTCCTGTCCATGATTAGGCAATTTCATGTTACCTCTGGGTCTTGTTTCTGAGTTAACGAAATTAGAATGTGTAGTATGAAATTTTGGTCTAGCAGAAATGCAGTTTCCTGGCTGGCATCCACTTGGAACAGTACGTAAGACTTGTGATACATATAAAGAAATAAGCCCATCATCTAGTCTCTCGAACATCTGGTCAGTATCCCTATTGGAACTGATACAAATTTCTAAGGAACAGTTATTAGCAGATTGACATTCATATGATTGCCTGTCACCTTGGCCAGACCTCATCCCATTGTGTGATTCATAACATGAGGGGGGGAGCATAGCCTTCAGCTTAGGTGGTTGTCCGGCCTCACTAGTAAAGTAGACAGGAATATTTCTTCCGGACATGGATGGTATTCCCATCTCCTCATTCCTGGCAGGTGGCAATCCAGGCCCAACATTATGAGCACTGATACGAGAAATCATCACACTCCATAAGTGATTATTTAAATCATAGCTATCCAGAAAATAATCTGTTCTTATAATGGTTATACAAGTAGCATTGCCAGATTCCAGCTTGGATGAAATGTACTGCTCTTCAGCCGTAGGCATCCCCACAGTTGCCCAACTAAAAGGCTCCTTATCATGATATATTAACTCTCCACTATCAGCATCAACAACATAAAAAGTTGATGTCTTTGTCCCAGTGGTAATAACTGATCCTTTAACAACAGGTGCTTTCTGGACATATTCCTCAACTGTCCAGTCATGTTTCTACAGTATGAAAACGAATAAGAAAAAGATAAATCAGTTGAAATGAATACTAGTACAGCATAATAAGTAATTATTATGTATGATAAGAAGAAGATCAATGATTTATATACACACAAATAGTGTTTTTAAAAGGCACTCAAGCACTCGGGCGAGGTGAGGCCCGAGCACCTTGCAAAACCCCAAGCGCAGCGCTTCAAAAAAGCGTTACTTGGGTACTCGCCTGAGCCCTGGCAACGTGCCTTGGGCAAGCGCCCAAGCCAAATTTGTTTAGGTTCAAACTTTGGTTTGATTGGACTTATAAGTTGGTTCAATTGAACCAACTAGCGTAGTTACCCTAACACCTCCCAACCCCCTCCTTTTCCCGACCCAGTGAAAGAGAACAGAGGTGAAAGTGAAGCCCACATCCGTCGCCTTTGTTTGCTCTACTCGTCGTCGTCAGCAACCTTGTTCAATCTCATCCGCTGTCACTACAACTTGTCTATCGCTGCAACTCGTTTGCCTTTGCAGCTCATATTAACCCTAAACCTCATTCACAGCTATAGCTTTGTCTGCCACTGCAGCTCTATCTGTCGCCATCAACAACCACTTCCATCGCCTTCATTCGCCGCCTTCGTACGCTTTGTTGCCTTTGTCCACCACCCTCTCCTTCCTCCACATTCTTCCACAATCATCGATAACTCCTTCCCCCACCTTTCTCAATTCCCTCTCTAGAACAATTTAGCACTAGTTAGAATTGTTTAACACCATATTGATTCACTCTTTAGAACTGTTTAGCATTGGTTAGACCTATTTAGCACCATATTGATATGATCCTCTCTTTAGAACTATTTGCACTGGTTAGAAACCTGTTTAGCATACCCTTTTAGCATATTTCTATTTAGCCACATATTTTTTTTAATTATAATATTCGAGAGCGCCTCGCTTCACTTAGTAAGGCGCATAGGCGAGCACCTAGCGCCTCAAGTGTTTTGGAACCTTGACGTCTTTTGGCACTTAGCGTTTTTAAAAACACTAGGCACAAAGCTTCCATGTCATTTCTCAATTCTCTGTTTTCTACATCTTATCACATGTACATTCAAAGTGCATGCTTGAGAATACAAACGTGATTTATATACATGCATATATGAGACGTGTGAGAATACCTTTATGCCAGCAACCTTGCTATATTCATAGAGTTCCCCTTCGCTATCAGAAAACACAATATAATCAGGATCATTAATTGAAGGAGTTCGCCATGAATATGAAAGTGGCTGACCTATCAAAAGCTTCCACTGAGGTTTTGTAGATTTATTCATAAAATAAATAGTGCCATTTGGCAAAGCCAAAAAGAACCTCCCATGCTTACTGATACCCCAAAAAAACAAAAAATTGTTACTAAAAGTGTTGAAATAATAGCAACATCAAACTCTGACCCAAACATCACACGCATATATAATTCTAACAAGCAAACGAATATACATAAAAGTATTATATTTCATAAAAATACAAAAACGTCCATGAATAAACTCAAAATAACCATGTTGTTTCTTGTACGTCAAATAAAGCTTTGGTATGTTGAATTGGTACATGTAAAATAACAAAATATCAATTTGTCTCTAAAGCAGCCCAAATATATATCACATGATAGCTATCTGCCTGAAAAAAATGATTTACATCAGACATAAAGATGACAAAGAAATCATAAATCCAAATTTACCTCTTTAAACATGAAGACACCTAACACTAATTTTATCCAATTGAATGTATCTATATACAATTGAAACCAGTTTGTTTTTTTTAAAATATACAACATCAACTCAGAGAAAATACCAGAAAGCTACATGGTCACTAAAGTTTATCAATTTGCAAAATACAAAAAAAAGCAAAAACAAAAAAGAAACTCAATTAGATTTGATACACAGCTGTTAACATATCAAACGAAGTAAAGCCTTCACAAAGATATGTATCATCAAGCCAAATGAGAATGTCAGCAATTACCCTAATCATATTATGAATTTGAAACACTTGTTCAGACAAGTCGGCATGCTTAAAGAAACGACTATCGCACCTAAAATATCATCGGTGTTAAAGCAGCTTAGTCTCGATTAATTTGCAAGTAATGTTGAGCTTCAACAAGAGTCTGATAATTCACGACAATTCTCTTAAGATTTGTTTCTTGAACTCATTAAGGTGGATCTTTTCCTAATCTACAGAACTCAAAAACACAACCAACCAAAAACTACACAAGGATGAGCAGAAAAACTTATCTTTCTTGCATCAGACCAAAAGCGAAGTACTTACTTTTCATCCAAACTCATGAGAGATCTCGATCCGGCTCTTAAAACACCAGGGGGAGACTTCTCGACAGGTACCAAATCGGTCGACAAGAGCCGACCGCTCCATTTTTCTGCAGCGGAGATCTCACCAGTAGACGCAACAGGAAAAGAAAGCCCGGGATAAGGAGAAGCAGACGGATCAAGCACCACGGGCGTCAACACGCCGGAGACGAGGAACCCGATGGCAAGGACGGCGTAGAAAACGACGGATCGCGCAGAGGGGAGCATCGGAGAGCATCGAATGGAGGAAGGGGAAGGGGGCGATTAAATTGGCCGGAAGGGAATCAAAAGAAAGCGAAACCCCTAGGGCAAGGTGGTGGATTGAGGGAGAGGAACAAGGAGATACCCTTCTCGCTCCCCTTTCCTTCGTCCTTCTCCTTCTTCCTCTTCTTCTTCGCCTCCTCAGTCTGGCCGCAATGCGACAAAAGAACACGATAAAAGTACCTCCAAATAGAAGCCCGAAGGCATTTAGATATAACGGGCCGTCATTTTCATTTTGTGATATAACACAGCAATTATAACGAGCATATGGCCAATACCGGAAGAAACATATCGTTATTTGGTGATATCGGAAACGTTATGTTGAACATAACGGATTTTGCCTTCCTGTATTGAATCTATTCAACATGTCTCAAATATTTAATATCGGCTGCATATATCTTTTGACTCCGTCATACAAAATAATATTCTTAATTTATTAAAAAAAATATTTAAGTGTATATTTATTATTTTTTTATGAAATTATCTATTTTTACACACAATTAATACTGATATATTAATCTCAAATATGATTCTTTCTCATTTTATTGTTCAATAGAACTAACTATAAGAAGAGAAATATTTTAGAAAAGGTTACTGATATTCTCATATAATCTACATAATTTTTATTTTTGTATATGAAAGCATAAGATATAGTTTATTTGACAATTGCCTTATATTATTTTCAAAAAAGTGACCACTTTTATATCTGAGATGTTAAAATTCAAAAGGATAAAGAAGATTAATCTCCAACAGAAATCATTTAAAGAAAGGAAAAATTCACCTAATTGGCTGTGAAGTTGTTCTTTGACAGAGTCAAAAAAACCCATATAATGGTTTGTGAGAAGGCTTGTGATGGACTGCTCTTTTTCACATATTGTGTTGGAAGGGATTTGTTCTTGACCAGAGAATTTAGTATTCTTTGTTCTTGAAAGGAAGAGCAAAAGACTTGTGATCTTAGTCAATTTTTTGTCTGAACTTGTTCAAGAATATATTGGGAGATATGCGAGGCTACAGTTATATTGGACTTCAATCAGGCTGCAAAATGGACATATTAGAGCTGGTTTTGGACTAAATATTCAGTTTCAAGCTCAATCTTAATTTGTAGGATAAAATATCCAATTTTCTTTTTTAGAGTAGAAACATATACAATTATCATCAGAACAACCCCCTGAACAGCTTGTAGAAGAAGAAGAAGAATCATATCACCCATGGCCTGCAAGCCCTGGCAGCAAAACAATCATATCTTCACAGGCTCAAAAAAGCCAAGCCTTCAGCACCAATTTGAGTGAGGAGACATTGTAAGGAAAAGATTCCATTATTCACACAACTTTACAAGACAACAGCCACATCCAAGAACACAGCTTCAGTCATATGTCAGCAGACAGCATCAGGACAGACAAGATCTAGTGTTATTGTCCTAATCCTTTACCCTGTTGGAGTGTGAGATTGTCCAAGCAAACCCCAGACACTTGGCAGATCTATCAACTCTTCTTCTTGCAGGACCGACACCAATAATTCACCACTTTAAACCTAATCATCTCTCCCATAGCTGAAGTACTCCATATTGCGAGCATAATGATTGCTGGGATCATTACACTGCTGCACTTTTCTTCGGATCTAAGTTGGGGATGAGCTAAAAGCAGTGTGTTCTGCTAACGATGCTCAGAGAACAGTGATGAAAACGCATGTCATACTCAGCCCTGCTGAGGAACAACATTATAAAGCTTCACATGGATCTGCATGCGAGCGCATGGGATGCTCTGCATTGATTTCCTGCGCTCAGTGGGTGTCATGCCACCAGACTCGGCAAGAGGTAACCATGATGGATATCATGCCATGCTCACTTGTTCTTCTGTGATCCGAGTGCTGTTGCGAGTCTCCAAGAACACACGAGGGTCACTGAGTCATTCAACTTCTTATGCATCCATAATCAATGCCATCTTTCACTTGCTGAGCTATCATCACCAGCATTTCTGAAAACTTTCTGACATCCAGTACGGTAATTCTAGAGATGGAATAAGGTTCATTGGTGTTGAAATTAATCGACATCGTATCTTGAGAATTAGATCTTCGAGAAGGTGGATGTTTCCTTATGGCATGAACGTTGCCATCCTAATCCTCAAGTCAATCTAAGGTCTTATGTCTGGATCAAACTTAAAAGTTTTAGATCCTTATCTCTACTTGAAACACTCAAATAGAGTGATGAAAATACCGAGGTTTGCAATGCACCAACCAATACCTATTTTTCTTGTTCTTCAGTATCAGTCATCATAAAAGTAGAGGAAAAAGTACATATCAGTATTGGAGATGGCTTTTTGATACTTATGCTTGTGATGAGCTTTGCCTTCAGACAACAATGTTGAGGTTTATAGGCATTTGGCCATATAGACTTTGCTTAGCCAAGTTGGAAATTGCAAACATTAAGGCATGATGAAGAGCATGCATGCTGAGTTAAGGCTTTGTGTTGGAGACTGCATACACAAAGAACTTTGCACATCAACACAGTTGAAATGTTTATATTTCTTCTATGATTTCCAAATGAAAGAGGATCATTCTCATCATAGACCAAGAAGATTGTTTTGATCACTCAAAAGAAAGAACAGAGAAAGGAAAAGAAATGAAAAGAGTGTTAACAGAGAGCATGACAACAATGACAGCATTTAAAATTATGCAGTAAATACAACTGTATCAAATTACAATATCCTTCCATAGCAAAAGAAAAGAAGCATATATGAAAGCAAATTAGCAATTATCCTTTGCTTTCCTCTTGTTCTCCATTCTGGCACCAACTTATGATTAATGCATCATTGGTGGACCAATGAAGACCTCAAAACTCAAAGATAAGTTAGAAGAATAATGCATGACACATACTATTTTCCTTTCACTCTACATGTAACTCCCACACACCAAAAACAAACACCTACTTTTGGTCGACGCAAGCACTTTACAATTATGCCGAACGTTTCTTGTCATTCTTTCGCAGCAAATAAGAAGTTCACACGATTGCACTCTATGATGCTCATGATATTGGCTGAGCAGCTGAAGAGCATATAGCTTCTACTGCAACTCTTTTCATGACATTTGGGCATGGGTCCCCGCCGAAGTTGGTGGTGGAGATGACAACTGCACATCTCTCTTGTCCAATGCAGTTCTGCCCAAATGGAACAAGGAATCAGAATTTTCCTTATAGAAGTACAAGAATCTACATATGAAATATGCATCCTAGTGTTCATAATTGATATATGCGGGAGAACACAGGAGGATTTACAGGTATATGCCTAGAACCAATGTGTATTAGATAGAGTGTAGACATGTATCGGTAGAGACAACTACTAACTATTTCAGTCTGCCTTATCCTCCCAAGATACTATACATGAAAGCAAGGGAGACACTCTACAGCACCTCATATGCAGCAACTAATTCTTTTTCTTCTTTTTCTTTTTTGTTTCTTGCATGACGAACTTCAAAATCTGATTTTATAGGATGCAAGAATGCCTAAACAGCAGCATATAGTTATATAATTATGCATGCTATAGTTTATCTTTATCGTCAATTACTGCATGTGAGAATCTCCAAGAAAAAGGACAACTGATTGTATAGAATGCAACAATGTAAAACCAGTAACACTTAAATAAATATTTTTGCATATTTAAGAGAGAGAGATAAAAGAGAGGCATAGAGAACCTTTTCCAGGATGGTGTATGAATTCGGCGAATGACATGCTCCCTGTTGGAAATTTCCACATGTTCCAAGTGGTGTCCCATAGCTGGCAAATTTGATGGCCGATATAGATTGTCCTGGTGCGCATCGCAGGTGTACTTTTGGCTTGTGGTACTCTTCAGGTTGGCCATCGCTCTCAATGTCCCAATTCTTTATTGTGGGATGCCATTCAGAAACATCAGCACAAACACTAGAAACAGATCTCTTCATCATGGAAATCTTTGTTGCATCACCTCCAACCTCTTCAAATATTACCAGTAGATTTCTTGTGGGTTGTAACCAAGACCGCGGCACATGATACCTGAGTATCCAACAATTAGCTCATACCCGAGGAGTTCTCCATTTCCAAAACTCCTAAGCACAAAATCCTAATATTATTCCATTTACTACAAGAGACTGCTAATGTATATTGTACCCGGTCTTTGGTTTATTAGATAAATTTATACTAAAATTCAGACAGATCACCAGTGCCATGATCATTTTGTTTCGCCAAGCAAATATGTAATATAAATAAATAATTAAGCTGCCATGTCATAGTTTGACGAAACAAATATTTTTAAAAGTATATCTATATCTTGCCAACCCTGTGTATTATGTTGCTCAAATCAACCGAAAAGAAGAGTTTCAGAGAATGATTTTCCTTTGATCTCAGCACTACAAAGAATAAAATTTTCTGACTCAGGTTATTATTAGTTTGAAAGAATTCTTGTGTAAGTTAATCATATAAGAAAAAAGTATGTTTCTCATGCAGAAGTTACCATCGTTGGGTTGGTTGGCCGCAGTTACTCTGACATTTTGGAGACCGATATGTCCCTATGTAACTGCATGAATTGCAATCTCCATTTGGGGCATAGGCAGTCCAGTATCTTCCAATACTTTGTCCGTTTATCCACACCTGACCCTTCCCCATACTACCCATATCCAAAGCCAATGGGTCATTCCCATCAGGAGCATCAAAATATGCCTGAAAGGAAAAGCCTTAGTGGCTAAAGCAGAGATGCTAAATTATTAGCGTTATAGTCCACAGTCGAGTCTGTGTCCCTACCCTATACCATGTCAATGGTTGCTGATCTTGAACTGCTAATGACCCTTGCATCCATTCAACAGAAGAAGCACCCTCCAAAGAATTTAGGTTCATAGCTTCTCCTTTTAGGCCAACCTGTAAACATTAGAAAAGAAAATATTTAACGATTCCGCCACACAAAATATTTCAACAGTGGCAAAAACTATGGTGATCAAACAAAGTAACCTGATATGACCATTTCTGCCATGTTAAGTCTCTACTTCCTTCATCAAGCCCATGTAGCACCACAGGACCAAGGACTCCAGTGCTCCAGAACTCATAATGCACACCTGCATTCTTCACCACAATAATAGCAAAATTATCAAAAGTTCAGTGTTGATATTTCATTTATTAGGCAATGCAATTTAAGTAGTTCATGGAAGATGATAAAATAACTTACTGGCAGTCCGACGGCGACACTCAAAATTGCAATTTTGTTAGTTCCAGCACGAATGTTGACATTACCAGAAAATTTTATCCTCCTATCTTCCCTGCTCCCATAAGCAGAACCTACCGTAGAATACTTAAACTTTAGTTTCTTGGTTAATGAAGCTTCACCTAATTATGCAGACACCAAAAATAGAACAATGGGTACCCAAATTTACCTGAGAGCTGTCCATTAAGAAAGATATGCAGAGCATGACCAGCTGACTGGACAGTAAGAACAGGAAGCTGACCTCCATGTAAAAATCCTTCAGCTGGGCTGACATCAACACTGCAAAAGCGAATAAATAGAATTCATGTTATTTAGTGTAAGAAACACTGTTCTAGTAGTCAATACTAGTTTTAGTATGAAAAGAAACCTAACATATTTCATCATATACTAAGAAGTTCTAAACAACAGATAAACTGGATCTATTTTGTGCTTGAATTGAGATAGCAAAGTTAGTCAAAATCACACCTACTAATGTACCACAAGTAGTCACTTGTATCCCTGGTAACGTTTATCTGTTCCAACAGCCCAGTTGTGGTGATCAATGAATTATCTTCCAATGAAGCGACAACCTCATCATACCTCTCCCACATAAGTGACTGAGTATTAGCTGGGTACATTTGCATTTGTGATGTTTGAACACCAACCTGTAGTGAAGAAAGGAAACTGATTCTCAGATAGAGGATCTGACCATTCTACAAACTTTCTGGATAAGTTGTAAGATTATTTTTTGATGATTTAACTTGAATGAAAACATTGGCTTGAAAGAACTGGCTCCTTCAGTATATATTTGAATATCAAGATCTTTAAGCGAGTCCAGCAACATCTGATAAAGTTGTCGAACAAAATGGAAGCAAATTTACTTACTTTTGCAGTGTTGAATACTACATTACTGCAGTCTGGTAAGATGCTGATTGACCAAGGTGGTATGTTGTAGTGCACGTTATTGAACATTACCCTTGCGAAGGAATCTGGGTTGTAGTTTGCAAGGAAAGCTGCACAACCTCCAGTCTGGGAACTGAAAACATGAGCCTGAAGTTTGAAGAACAGTCGATCCAAATTGAGGATTCATGTCAGCACCCGAAAGAATGGCACTAATAAACATAATTAGTTATTGCCAATGAAGAATCCAACACACCTGTTGGAGACTTCCCAAAGAAGTAACTGTTGGATCAGCTGAAACTAGAGCTTGTTCACACAGTTTAATTGCCCTATGAAGCTCTTTTAGATGCCCGTATTTTGGTTCTCTGATCAGCCCTGCCATTTGGTGACAAAAAAGTTGAACAATGCATATTCCTGGTTTAATCCAAAATGCAGATTCAATGTACACCAATTTAAAACCACATTTTTGTTAGTACTACATTGGGATTGATAACAATTATGAGATTTGACAAGAAGCTTAACTTATGATGGTCCCAATTAAAAATCTGAATTGACACTGGACCATCTGCAAAGAAGTTTGTTTTTCTCTAACAAAATCATGCCCATTAACAAATATTCCGAGAACTCCACAAATGTTATGAATCTGACAACTTGCTTTAGTGTAAAATATATATTTAAATACTTCCCCCATGTATGTGTAGAGAGAAGAAGGCATACACAAACACAGAAACAAAGAGTTAGGGGAAGAGGGAGAGAGAATATGTGATATAGTACGAAAACAGATAAATGGGGGAAAACACTCTCAATAATTTTGAGAAATAAAATGAAATGTTCATTTTCCTTCATACCATATTCATCAATTGGAGCATCATAATCATAGCTGGTTGTGATGAAGGGACCTCCAGCTGTACGCCCAAAATTAGTTCCTCCATGGTACTTCAATGTGTAAGCAAAGATGAAAGATATATTTCAGAAAGTATTCTTTGGAGAGGCCTCAGATCACTAAGATGAAAAGGCAATTTAGTGAAGTCTAACCATGTAATAATTGATAAATGAACCACCCTTTTGTATAAAGCGTGCCACAGCGAATGCCAGGTCTTCAACTGGTCGGTGATGGATAGGGCTCCCAAATTCCGTAAACCTATAGTGGTATCAGAGAGAGGAAAAATCTTGCACAGCTCAGATATTTATGTGGCCATGATTCAACTGTATGTATAATCTAGCATTTTCCCAAGAAAATACATATAAAAAGTACAAAAGTTGTTTGAAAAGCTAAGCACCCTTGAAGCTTGTCATTATACAGCTATAAAAAAACTGGCATGACATGCGCAGATCTCAAATTTCAGCTGAAATATATTACCGCATAAGCAACTTACCAGCCACTCCAAGCTTCAGTCCACATTATAGGCTTATAAGGCATATTGGGAGTAAAAGTATCACAGTAGAAGCCATTGCATGTATTTATCTGTTGGCAAACATAAAGAGATTCACAAGAAAATATTGAAAACATCTGTTATCAAGAATAAAGAAAAAGAATCAGAAGGAAATTCCTATCATATGTTTTAAGAGAAATGACCACGCAACAAAGATTGCTCATGTTGACTTGCAACTTTAGGATACTCTTATGTTCTTTACATTTAAGGATTCTGTGAATAAAAATGATAGATGAAATAAGTAACAGCAATCTATTGTGAGCTAGCAGTCGGCATCAATAGTTCATGTAAAAGAAATAGATTATCCATTACAAATTTTGCAGAAGCTTTCCTCAAAAAGATCTCCATGAACATGACTAGAGTTCAAGTTTAATCACAAAGTGGAACATTATTATTTAAGTCAAATACATTGGGTAAACATAAAAATTTTCTATCGTACAATCAAAGGCTAATTTGAGTTCTAAGCTGGATCATATATAAAAATATATGGCTCTATTTTTGAAGAAAATATTTGGAGATATTAAGGTCCATCAAATTCTGTATAAGAACAGTATAGAAGCTTAATCCTCACACTATGTGCAAAATATATCAAGTAGCAAATCAGCATTTTGAATTAGCATCAAACCACTAAATTACAAAAAAGAGCCATCCAAGAAAAGACACAAGCATAATATATTTGTTAGCAATGAATCCAAAATATGTGCCTTCAACAACACAGCACACACCAAAAAGACGCACACACACACACAAAAAAAAAAGGAACAAGTTTATGTTATATTAAAATAGCTTACCACCGGATCAGGGGCATCATCCTCCTTGCACATAACCCATGGTACGCCGGTCTCTAACCCGACAGCCATTTCTGCAGCCCAGTTCAAATATGAACGACCAGGAGGCCCAGATGCCCTACTTACGGGCCCGTACTCATTCTCAATCTGCACCCATAAAACTTTAAATCAGCCAGTGGAGACAAAAAGATTACTTCCACTTTCTTTTATTCTAATCTCCCCATGAAAGAAAGGCATAGGAGCATAACCTTACATCAGGCTACCACAAGGTGAATAGATAGTGACAGAATCTAAGGTTTCTTTGGTTGATGACAAGAAACATGCCTGTGAAAGGATGATTGGGCCACCCTGGGAAGCAAAAAGTGATTCACTCTTCAACATCTGAACAATTTTTTGGGTGAAACCTTGCATAGCCATCTGCATTTTAAATAAAAAAGAATAAACTTGTCACGTACGTATTCAGAACCAAATTAGGGCTGCCATCTATGAAACAATGAAGCTGCTTGGTAAAATTATAGAACAGAAAGCTTAGACCTTGCTCTTTGCATCAATAAGAAGAGAAAAAAGAGGTTAGAATTCAGAACACCGGGATAAGGAATGGACCTTGAAAGGCTCATTATCTGTTCTGAAGCTGATTCCTGGAACATACTTCAACCAAACTGGAAATCCTCTAAACAAAAAGAGAAGAAAAAATGAGGAAGAAATGAAAAAAAAAAGGCTTAAATTATTTACAGCAAGAAATCAATGATTAAATTTTAGCTAAGTTGGAGAAGCACCCAAAATTCCACTCTGCACAAACATAAGGCCCAATCCGAAGGTGGACATACAGCCCCAGATTCTGGACTGTCTTGATAAACTTCACCAAATCATACCTCCCCTCAAAATCGTACTGCCAAAAGAAGGAAAAAAGAAAGCTCAATCAAGAAGATCCATTTATTATTCTAGTTCTACAACAAACAAAAGCACAGTGAAGGGAAGAAACTAAAGAAATGTGCACAAGAAGGTGAGAGAAATACGGTGCCAGGTGAAGGCTCATGTCCATTCCAAAAGACATAGGTCTGTATAACATCCAAGTGCGCATCCTTAGCCTTCTGAATAAGCCCTTCCCACATCTAACACACCAAAACAACAATGCCCAACCAAAATTCACCAAGAGATTCCTCGTCAACCGTGACAAATTAAAAGTCTAAAGATGCAGCAAGAAACTGAGATGGATTTTCTAGAGATGGTACTTCTGGGGTGCTCCTGGGGTAGTGAATGGAGCCAGAGATGAGGATCCTCCTCTGCCCATTGATGATGATGGCCTTCCTGTCATAGGTCACGCCACATTGTGCCACAGGAAGAAGAAAAAGAAGCAGCATTGAAGCAAGGAGACATGCTGAGTTCTGAACAACCATTTTCAGGTAGTGAATACTCCCACTCCACCCTCTCAGATCTCACACTCTTCCTCTCTTCCTTTCCACCGATGTTATAGGTAGAGGAAAAGTTGGAAGTGTGAAGCTGGGGAGGGCAGTGGGTGAGTCCAAACCCTCTAAGGAAAGAGATGGGGAGGTTGAATGTCTGTGGGGTGGTCTCCCTAATATGCCAGAGATAGAGAATCCATCTATTGAACACACAATCCAGCGAGCTGAACAGAGATCCGGCACAGAGAGGGGTGATTATTCTTGTAGTTCAAAACCACTTTATAGTGGCAAAAACATTGCCTGACACCTCTTTACATGAGTGAAGTGTGTTCATTACTACACAAACAAAGGTGAAGCTCATCATGATCATGCCAACCCCTTTTCCCTTAACCTCTTGGCTTAGTGAAACTTTTGTTAGATTTCTTGTCTGGAATGTGACATGCTTGTATCAGATACCATCCCTGACCGACATCCTTACATGACTGCTGCCATGACAAATTCTGCACTGGTCACTCGATAAATCTGTAGAGTGGTCTGTATGCAAGTCATTATGGCTTTGACTCAGTGGGCCTTATCAGTAAACCTCAAGATTTTTTGCCGGAAACATCCTAAATTTGCAAGAAATCTCATTATATCAGTGACTGTTTCTACAGTTGCATGCCAAAATACGACCATTCATCAAAGTAAAAGGCTGTATCTTTAGCAGATATAGATGGGAGATGCTGACTACAGTATCATATCTGCATAGATACATGACAGCATTCACCTCAGATGTCACATCATTTCTGAAAATATCAAAAGGGATTCATTGTTGTTATCTATTATAACTCAATTTCTGTTAAAATAATGTATGGCTTAATCTCAAGTGATTTGGCCAACAGCACTCATTGTGCTCTGTTGCTCTCCATCATAAAGCAGAGAAAACAGCTCCCGTCTGAGGATGAAAGCTGATATCAATCTTTTGCAACTGCTACAAGGAATTATGGCCATAATACTTTGGATAGTTAGGATTGAGATGGAAACCACAAGGGATATGAGTGCAAGTGATGGGAAATGGGGGCATTTAATTGAGATGGCAAAAGTAAGCACACCATGAATGAGCTTTTTGGAGACGATGCCACCAAACGGCATGGCCCTCGAAGTAATGTATCCTAAAACAAATCTCTTTCTTTCTCTCCCTTCTCTTCCCACTTCCTTTGCCCTTGAAAAGCTCACTCTGAGTCAGATGACTGCTCCACTTTATTGGTCACCCCGTGACCAGTGAGTACAAGACAAGCGGGGCAACACATGGAGACTGGGGCGGGTGAGTGTTGGTATCCGAAGTGAGTGTTTTGACCATCCCATTGGCTGCCTCCTCATATCAAGAAAGATCTCCCGGAACTGGTTGTGGCCATCATCATTTATTTGATCACAGTAGCCGGTTGAAATCAAGGAGATCTGCAAGGAGTTGTTATGGACATTGTTGATGAAGCCTTTTCTCTGCTCATGGACAGATGTTTCAGACTATAGATTGGTCATATCTGCTCATGCTCAAACAGGCTCAAAAGACTCCATCGAGCCGAGGCATTGGTCCCCTTGAGAGAGATCTGGAAGCCGGACGTGGATTCATCACACGGCGCTCTGCATGGATGTGCCAGTGGACAGCTATCAATATGTCCTGAGACAAATCTACTGAAGAACAAGACGATTTACCTTGAAACCCCTGAAGTGGCTTCTTGTCGGTTGTGGTCCTCGTGGTGACGACGACTGTGCTGCGATCCCGCTGTGAGCATGCCGTGCCTCCCGGCGCAGACGACGGACTGTTACATGCCAAGCTACGTGTACCTCGAACTGGCTGCCCCACCCATCTGCTGGGCCCGCGATTACACCGTCGTTTCGAGGCCCAAAAAGCCCTTGCATCTCACATGGGCCCCATTCTATCTCCAATCATAAGCAGGTCATTTTGTGGGTAATTTCCATCGAAAAATGGTGAAAAGGACTTCAGTCGTCCCAATGGCAAAACATACGGAATTAATTGAAATAATCACAAATAATACACTTAATAAAATGGCTATACGTACAGCATTGCCTAAAAGACACTCCATATATATATATATGTATATATATATATATATTTGTGTCGGTGCTGAATACATATATGGTAACAGTTGATACCAAAAGCGCGTCCTCTGCGTCAAGTATTGTGACCAATTAAAGATCACGTAACGCGTTACTTTATATGTGTATACCTGTTGCATGAGTCGAGGCTCATACGAAGTACCAAAAGCGGGTCCCACTTTGGGTCATGTTTTGTCGCCAATTAAAGATCGGGTCATTACGCGGGTAAATCATGTCTTTATATGTACATAGAGGTTGTTCGAGTCGGAGACGGAAGCTTGTACGAAACACTGTCGACCTGTCGAGTATTATACGACTTCGTAATATTCATGATATCCGTTGGATTTAAAGGCATATCTTCCATCCACCGTTCGATCTTTATGCGTTCACTTATATACCGATCATTTCCTCTCCGCCCTTTACCTCCCTTCTAGGGTTTAAGATCGGTCAGCGAAGCTTCAGCCTCTTCCCGCCTCCTTCTTCCGCCTATCTAATCGTGAAACCCTAATCTTCCTCCTGATACTTGCGTTTGGCCTGGCTTCGTGGGAGGAGCGATCCGCGAGGCATGGATAGATACCAGAGAGTGGAGAAGCCGCGGCCGGAGCCGGCGGCCATCAACGAGAACGAGATCCGCATTACCTCCCAGGGCCTTATCCGCAACTATCTCAGCTACGCCAACAGCCTCCTTCAGGTATATATCTCGCCTTTCTTTCTACTTTTTTCGTCGATGTTCATATATTCCTTGGTCGTCTTAGATATTTCTACGGGGAATTATGTGCCGGGTACATTGGTTATTTGGGCAATGACGTGCTTTGGTTGTTCATGTTAACGTGAATGTTGGTTGGTTTGATTAGCCAGTGACTTAGATTTCTCGTCGCGGGCTTTGTTGTTCACATTGGTGGTGTATTTGCATGCAATGGATATGAACGAAAAGAAAATGGGGTCGAATTTGTGTACACATTTGACTTAACTTTCTATCGGGAGTAATACCCCCTTTCTGAAGCATCTGCAGTGGTGCATTGGACTTTTGATTGTCATTTGGCCTCCTGCATCATGTTTTTGGCAGTGTTGCAACTTGGTAACTTGGGGCTGTTGTTTCTTTTCTATGTTAAAGCCTAATAGAACTGACATCAATTCGTAAATGGAGAGCAATTGATGGTTTCCATTTGTGGGTAATAAGGAACCTGTTTGACATTACCTTGATTTGCAATAACTTATATGTTTCAGAGTTCAGATTTTACAGACTCATTTTCTGGAGCAAATCTACCAAATGAGAAATAAGGTTTTAACTTTTGTGAATAAAATACTTGATCTGGTAACAGGGAGGGGGGAATTTGTTTTGTATTTTTAGAATCATGAAGGTTCTGGGATTTATGATGAATGAGGATGATTTAATCTTCCTACGTTACCAAAAAGTAGATTAACCATCATGTATAATGAATTTCATGGTGTGTATTTAGGTTGTTAAAAAGCTTTCTTTGTTTGTGTCACTCAGTTGCTCTTTATTGAATGAGAAACATGAATATCTTTACTGAGTTCTTGCAATGAGTTTTGATGCACCAACAACCAATGTTGTCAATGTACATATGTTTCTTGCTTTCCAGTGTGTACCGAATAAGGAGTCGTCTGTAATTGTTGCTGAGAATGATTTTTGGTTGAAATATTGTCTCATATATGTGTGGCTTTGTCTGTTGCTATAATCCAATTTTTTAATCTGCACATGGCTTTGAGGACATTATGTAGGTTCTGGACAATTGAACTTGTTGGGAGTGCTTCAAAAGGATAGATTGATCTTTTTGATAGCAGAAAGAAGTTACCTCAGAGAGTCCGACAACTACAATTAGTCATCTTCTTGATAGCATCTCTACTAGGTTACGACACAATAGCTTAATTTAATGTCTTGGATTTATATCTTGCAGTTGGGGAATGAGAATTGTTGATCCTAAGTTTGTTAGCTTTCAGAAAAGGATTCACATTAACCATGTCAGACATACTGTAGCCAAGGGACTTCTTTTCATGGCCTTTACTCTTTCTTCATAAAACTGGGATATGCTGTTCACTTTTTAAATTTCTTATTGCGATGATCTGAAGTTTTGTTGAGTTGAGGTTGTAGTTAAGGAAGCTAATACCTCTTTGTTAATTTCTAGTGTTCTGTCTGGATAAATCATAGATCAAGCACCAGAAGCTTCCTTTTCCATACAAGTTAATAGCACTACACCAAGCTTATTACTTGTCATTGCCCAGTATTAAGTCTTTGAAAACTCAGTCTTGGTGGTGTTATTTAAGTCTTTGCTTATGAAATACCTTTATATTTTCAAGAGACAGGGGAAGCATTTTGTCTAGTAAAATTGGTATACATAAGAATATTGGCGGATTTACTTTTCATGCTTGTTCTCTTCTAGTTCATTCATATGATTTTGCTCATCTCTATATTTATATTCTTGTGAATTTTATATCCATATACCTCAGAGTTTGTTCGTCAACAGAATTTACTTTTTATAATTATGAATATGGGTGTTCCATGCAGGAGAGACGTTTGAGAGAGATCGTCTTAAAGGCAATGGGACAGGCAATCAGCAAGGCAGTAGCTATTGCTGAGTTTATCAAGGTTGATATCTTACTCCTTATTTATGATTTTCTTAACAAGGATATCAGTTTGTAGCTTTTCTCAACCCATATTTTGAGTGTAGAAAAGGAATCCTCATTTACATCAGGACATCTCAATCAGTTCCGTCAGTATCACTGATGTTTGGGAACCTATTGAAGAAGGCCTTGTACCGTGAGTTCTTTGGTGCTTTTGTTTTCTGTTGTGAGTAAAGTTATTTTGATTGAGTTGTTGGTAAGATATTCTTACATGTTCCTCTCTCCTCTCTGCCCTGTGGCCCCCCTTGTCTGTGCAGGTTGGAGATGACACGCCATGTTTCAATGATTTCAATAACTTTGTCAACCAGAGAGCCCACCAAGAAAACCCCAGGGTAACATTTGGCATTTTCTAGAAGCATCTCGATCATTGATTAGGGAGCTGGCTGTACAAGCTAGTTTTTGAACACATTGTTGAGTTCCTCCCTTGTAGTTATCAAGCTCCACTACATGTAGAGCAGCCAAAGCGTCAACAGAAGTTTCAACAACCACAACAGTTTCAACAGCAACAACAGCAACAACAGCATCAATATAGACAAGCACTAGGTCAAATTAATGAAGGTAAAGTATATGACTTCCCACTATTTTTATTACTGAAAGTGTCAGTTAACTTTTTTGTTTTGCTTGTTAAAGAATCATATGGACGTGGACGTGGTAGAGGTAGAGGAAGAGGAAGGTTCTGGGGAAGAGGAGCAGCATATGGTGGGTATGGCGGATATGGCAACAATCAGGGTGGTTATGGTGGATATGGCAACAATCAAGGAGGATATGGTGGTTACAGCTATAATCAAGGTGGATATGGTGGCTATGGAAATAATCAAGGTAGGTTTGTCTTTTTGATGGATTACCTTACACAGATATATGTTGCAATTGGATACTTTTTCTAATGGACTGGGGCATAGGACATATTACATGCTATATATGACTATTAGATGCTTGTTCTGATGGATAGTTGCATAGGCTGTATGACAGTTACAACCAGTATAACTAAGGATCTATTATGGAGCATTCATTGATTTTGTTTCCTTCTCTTTTGATTTATTTATTTTTTATAGATCTACTTATTCATTCTGGTTCATGTTAGAAAATGGTGGATGGAATTCAAATTGGAATCGAGGTGGTGGACGTGGTAGGGGAGGTTGGAACTCTCGTGGTAAGCTCATAATGATTATGTTTTTTGTCCTACACTTGTTTCTAATTCATAATACATTTATCTGAAAGTTTCATAGAATCGAGTATTGGATCAGTAATAGGATTTAGGATTTTGGCATTTCTCTGGATTTGCCAAATCAGATCATATTATAAGGTTTTACTGAATCAACCTAAATGTCGACTGGGATTGGCCAAAAGTTGAATGGAGTTGTCCAAATATGTCGAAAGGGGTCAAAATAGGTGTGGCTGGCTGGTAAATAGGTTGACACTGAGATTGGCCAAGGCGTCATGATCAGGAGATTCCATCCATTCCTTGAAAATTGCAGATTTTCGTGTGGACTAGGAAAATCATCATCTAGATCAGGAGTGGGTTCAGTTTGGCAAATTCTGAATGACTTTATTCCGAATCATGCACCTAAAGATTGTAGGCCAAAAACAAAGCAAGTATTTTGAGTCTTATAAATAATCATGCACCTAAAGTTTGGGCTTGTTGTAATTTGGCCTTTTAGCAGGCTTTGGGCCATCCTGGTTAAGATTTGCTTGGGCTAATCAAATATTGACATCTGTTTGGTGAAGCATTCTTAATTAAGGTGCAAGCACACAATTTTTACTGGTTTCTCATTTTGGTATGTTTGTAGAACTACCTGGTGTGTATATGAGACCAGATAGCATGGTGAGAGGGGTCTGCCTAAGAGACTAAATCTGTCAGGACATAAAATAATCCTACAGTTGCAGCACATGGTATGTATATTTACTTATCTTCTGCGAATGCACTATTAACGGGGGGACCTGAGGAGAACAGAAAGTTTCCTCATTTTCATTGGAAAGAAAGAGGACCATTAGAGAAAGATAAATGATAGTGCAGAAACGAGAGATGCTAGTCAAGAAAGGAGATGAGTTACTGACTTACCTATGGTTCCTTACATCGTGAGGGCAAGATGATTTGCCCAGGTGAGATTAGTCAACTTATAAAATATTTTCTGTTCATGTTAAAATGCAAATCTCCACTCCACGGAATTCCACAGAAATATACAGATTGGGCTTCTGCACGAAGCAAAAACTTCATATTAACAAAACTTGCAATGACCTTATGTTATTTTTTGAAACTTCAATAATATCACGTAGCAGTATCCTGCATAACTTATCCTTTGATGCATTTCTTAGATTCTTATTCTGATCTTTAGCTTTAACTAAGCTCTTTAGTGTTATAGGTGCAGGTTACGGAGGAGGAAGAGGATCTGGTGGCGGAAGGACCGGAGGCAGAGGTTATGGCCGTGTACAAGGGAGGATGGGTGGCCATGGGAGAGGAAACTAATTAGTAGTCTTGGTTCTGGCATGTGGTGTTGTTGTCCATGCCAATCCAAATTTAGGAAAATGCTCCGGTAAGCAGACTGGTTTTCCATTTGGACAATTGCATGTAAGATTGGCTGCCCAATACAGCTTTCGGGTGCACAGTTATTACTCCAGTGTTAGAGCGAGCTGTAATTCTTGTCATTTCTTTCAGTTCCTCTGTTGTTCAGGTACCCAAGTTGTTGTTCTTCAAAGTCTGCTTTCAAGTTTCATTTCTCTTCTTGATTATTTACTTCAAGCTCAAGTAATAAGATGAAGGTTTTGAAAATAAGATGAGAAATTTCTCTTTTCTTTATTGGGAAAAAATTGAGAAAAAAATTCTTGAAAACAGTGCTGTTGTGTGTTAAAGTTGTAGAGTCAATAATGAAAGTAGTGTCCAAATTAGAATTCCTCAATGATCCATATGGTTCATGATTCATTGTGTGTAGTTGTTTCTATCACTTATGGCGTCATGCAAAACATGGATTTCCAGTTTTTGGTTATTCCTGCTTAGTATAACTGAAACTGGTCCTTATGTTATGACAGCAGAAATTGATAGAAGTTACCATGATCAAATATTACAGGAGAATGACTTGATAAGACTAAAATTATATGATCGTTAATAATATTAAATCTGTGTGAATCTCATATACTATCAGGTTCATTTTTTGCTTTTGGTGTGTGATTTAGCTCATGACGGGCATCCAAATTGCTAGATAGATATATCACCGGATGGAACACAGACGTCAACCCAGGAAATCATGGAACCAACTCAGTCTCCATCTGCTCATACTTGTAACTCACTCATGCTTTTGATATCCAGACACTTGCATTGCAGTCCAAGAAACAAAGCTCAAGCTTTCAAGCAACATAAAGTGTGCTTCACTCACGGCAGTACAAGAGCTATCCCGGGTGGCAGCTTCCTCCCATCGAACTCAGAGAAGCTCCTGCTCATGGATCCTTTCCCTACCTGTGCTCTTCTTTGCTCAATCTTTATACTCGGTAATAGCATCAAACTCTACTTCTAACTCACTCATCATTCGATATTTACTTTTAAATCTAGTCATGCTGCACATCAACTTTTCTTTCTCAAGGTCTTCATAATCTCAGGTGACCTTGTGAATGGGCAAATGGTTATATTCCACTTGAACAACAAGTGCCCTTTTCCAGTGTGGCCTGCAGCCGCCCCCAATGCCGGCCATCCTGTGATTGCCGATGGTGGCTTCCTCCTCCCACCCAATCAGACAAAGCGTGTTCATGCACCTCCGACGTGGAACGGCCGGTTTTGGGGTAGAACCGGTTGCGACTTCACCACCACCTCCAAACCAGGTTGTCAAACTGGCGACTGCCAAGGCCTGCTCTCTTGCAATGGAACCATTGGCACGCCTCCTGCTACCCTTGTCGAGGTAGCAAACCATCATGCTTACAGTGCCATTTCAAACGGATTCTGATCACAGCATGTAGCATGAAGGAAAATGTTCAGTAAAAGCTGGATGGCCAAGACTCTGCAGGTTGCATTACAGGAAGACCAAAGCAAGCCGAGCTTCTACGACGTGAGCGTGGTGGACGGCTACAACCTCCCGATCGCCGTGTCGACGAAGCCAGCATATCGCAAGTGTTGGATCGGAGGATGCACGAAGAGCATCAACAGCGTATGCCCGGAAGAACTCCAGGTGTTGGACCACAACGGCGCCGCCGTGGTCGCATGCAAGAGCGCGTGTTTGGCCTTCGATCTGGATGTGTTCTGCTGCAGGAATTCGTACGGGAAGCCGGAGACATGTAAGCCCAGCGTGTACTCCGCCATGTTCAAGGATGCTTGTCCGAGCTACTTCAGCTATGCTTATGACACACCACCGCCACTGGTGAATTGCTACTCCAGAGAGTATGCCATCACCTTCTGCCCCTCGAGATGGGGTAGTCTTTTATCCCAGTAAGAGAAATCTATCTGCTCATGAATGTGACATGTTTCGGCTATCTTCAGATACATCGGTGTTAGTATCATATATATATATATATATATATATGTTCGAATCTTTTAACATAACCTAAAAAGATTGTTTTCTGAGTTAGTAGCCTTACATAGTTCTAATCACGGTTCGATTTGAACCGGTATCGAATCGGACTTAAATCAGAATTGAACCTTCTCAGTTCTAATCACGGCTCGAATTGAACCGGAATCGAATCGGACTGGAATGAGAATTGAACCGTCTCGGTGGCAAGTTTTCGTCCTATGGAATGAGAATTAATCCACAGGGCAAACACCGTAGAAGCCATAATTAATGGTCACAACCACCCCCCCGTCCCCCATTCTTCCTTCGCTTCGCTCTTAAGAACAGCACAGGCACGACGGGGATCATGACTGCAAACCTTCCTCGGTCTCATAAGCTGCACTCTAAGCTTCTCATGGCGGTCGATTCCTCCTCCTCCTCCAACGCACTTCTGCTGTCAATCTTTTTAGCCTTGAGCTTGCTGATCCCCGCCGCGAGCTCGGACATCTCGAGCGACGTGGCGGAGTGCGGCAGCCACCTGCTCGCGATGCAGACGTGCATCACGTTCGTCCAAGGGACCGCCGAGGCTCCCACGCCCGACTGCTGCGCTGGCCTCAAAACGGTCCTCGCCAACAGGCCCAAGTGCCTCTGCATCCTTGTCAAGATGCACGACGACCCCCAACTCCCCATCAAGATCAACGTGACTCGAGCTCTCGCGCTGCCCACCGCGTGCAGCGCCCGTGCCAACATCTCCAAGTGCCCGCGTACGTTGCTTCATAGTCCATCTTTATCTTCTGCTTGCACTTGTCACGATTCATCTACTTGTTTCTTCCCGTAGAGATTCTGAAGCTGCCACCAAACTCCAAGGAAGCAGAGATCTTCAAGCAGAGCGGGAGTCCAACTCAAGGTGAGTGGCTGTGATAGTTCTAATTAAGCCATAGCCAGAGTAATGCCAGTGCAGGAGATCATTACGGTGTTCTACACTTGCTATGCATACTTTGTCTACTGATCCATCTTTTGTGCTACACTTTGCTGCTTGACTTGCTGATTGCTTTTGTTACAGCTAAGGGAAACTCCACCATTAACACCACCACCGGCACATCTCCCCGGGCCTCGTCTGAGACCAGTAGTGGGAGGAGCGATTACTTGGAGTGGAGAGGGTGGTTGGCAAGGAAAGCTGTGGTGGCTTGTGTTCTTTTCTTGGTGATGCCGCTTCCACTTTCCACTTGATCCTTTGCAGCACAAGGTTTCCAAGACACAGTGTTTTGCTTTGCTCGTCATGTTTCCCAACCTACTCTCTCTCTCTCTCTCTCTCTCTCTCGTCTGTGGAAACAATTAATGTTGTTGTAAGTTTGTCATTAATATGTTGGACTGGATGCCTCTACCAGTGATATGCCGAAATATTTAATGGTTTGTACCACCAGGAATAAATCACTGTTGCAGACATAAAATTAACTACAATTAGATGAAGATAGGGTGATTCTATATGCTTCATAATTCTAAAATTTCACAGTAATTTATTTCTGTAACTTCTGAGAGAGCATTAAAGTGATTCTGCCATTCACAAGTCCTCTCTGGAAGACATTGAAGACTGACATCTCAACATCATTAACTCCACAGCAGTATTAATTTCCTCGATGCTTCTCCTTCAATTTTGTCTGTCAATCAATGGCATTTAATTCAAAATTAAATAGTACACTGCTGAAGATATATATATATATATATATATATATATATATATATATATATATATATATATATA